AGCTCATTCCCGAGCAAGTACAGCCTTTACGGAGTCCAGCTCATTTCCACCTCGGAGTTGCAGTGCCCAGGGCACTTGGATCCCTGCAGATTGTCATGGACAGACTACAGAGCACAAACCCAAAGTGAGACACTTTAGAGCCTGCTTTTCTCAGTTGCAGATGGTGCTTTTAAGAGGAGCTAAAGAAAGAGTTCTACAAGAACTCTTGTTCTTGTAGAACTCTACTACAAGAGTTCTCCTCCATCACAGATCATTCAGCCAAGTTTGTTTAAGGTGGTCCCCTCATGTCTGTTCTGTAACTACACCTAAACACACACAGATAAGTTCCAGCAGCTTTATCAGCTTTGGGTTTGAGGTTTTAATTATAATTGGATTAAACTTGGTTCTGATTTTCCAGGTTTTCAGAAGTGGCAACGTAGCTAAAGCTGGAAAGAACATAAAGATAACTGTCATTAACATTCTGTTGCCAGTGGAACTGACTTTGTTATATATTGCAAAGTAAATACATCTCTGTGGGACAGATATTTCCAGTTTTCAAACCACAAACTTTACCTAGCCTGTAGTCTTAATTCAAATTTGCACAATAGTCACAGAAACTCTGACTGAATTCCAGGCTCCATGTTAAATTGGTGAGACTACTGCTGAGGAAAACACTTCACTAAAGGATGGGCAAATTTAATTAAGGCATCACCAAGAAACACTAAACCATACTACAACATTCATTTTTCCAAGGCAATGGCACTTGTGGTGTGGAAATACAGAATGCTCAAATGATTAACAGTATGGAAATTCAAAATGCTAAAGCAATTCCCATTTTTATCATAGTTGATGTCCTCATATTCCTGTCAACCCCTAAGGAGGCAAGACTTCGCCTGTTTTTATATTTACAGATGTGTTTTCAAAACAGAAATAGAAAAAGATGTTAAGGGAGAAGAGCTTGAGGGCAAACTAACTTCTCACATTTTCCTTACCATCTTCCTGCAATCACTTTCTCTCAAAATCTGACCTTATTTTTTTTCTAGAATTGACTTTTAAGAAATTTCTCAAAAAAAAGAATACCAGTGAGTAATTGTTGTTTTGGATTTTAAAAAATATTGTTTGATCAATACTGACAGCTGTCCTCATTTCCTTTCCCATGAGGCTTTTTTGTTTCTACCCCCTGCCTTGCCCTCCACAGCTTACAGGTAATTCTTCTTTTCCTCCATGTCACCTGATAATCTCTGTTCTGCTTTCACTCTTTCTCCCTTTCATCTTCTTATTCCTGTCCTCTCTGACCTACCTTAGAAACAAACTCCTATCTAATCTCCTTAGAACATCCAAAACTTGTTCTCCCCAACTTGTCCTGTTTGTGGTGAACTTTCAAATTGTAGAGCTGAATATCAACAGCCAGCTGCCTTCTGGTGATAGGACTGAATTGCTGCAATGACTCATCATTAATCTAGATATCCACAGGTTTAAATAGCTCACTTAATCTCATGAGCCTTTTGGTAGCCCAGGCAGTGCACTCAGATGTCAAACTGCAACGTCTTTCAGGCAGGCAACCAAAATCAGGGAGCCCTGAGCCAGATGAATCCTGAAAACTAGGACAGCTCTAATTTAAGTGAGCTAAATCCACACACAACTGTCTAAAACACATTTCATTCATATTTTGGGCCTAGGAGTATTTGAAATTGTGTTGAAGTATACTAATTCATCTCATGTCAGTCCCTAAAACAGGATCATTTGGGCAGCAACTGGCTTTTAATACCAAGACTCAGAATGGCCCGTGGTCAAACACAGCATGTGCAGCTTCAGAGTACCACTGCTGATAAGGAGGGGAAGGGAGAGAAGGAATAAGTAAACAAATACATGACAGTTCCCACATAGAAACCAGAATATAACTAAAGTAAGGACTACATCTCTCTACAACACTGCTGAGTTGTTTTTCAAATTGTATTGAATTTGGGATCTAAAAGACAAATAGAAACTCAGTTTTGTTGGCTCTCCAGTGAAGCCCCTTTGTTTAGGATTTTGAATGTTAGCAACCATTTAGTTACTGTGAACTGTTATAATCACTGAATAGACTGAAAAAGAGGGAAAAAATCTCCACTACCACAAGTTGGTCATCACATTTCTAAGACATGTCTCATTAATTTGTCTCACCCGTGTCTTATATCTTTGGGTTTATGAGATCTCCTGGGAACATGGTCTAGGATGCACAAAACTGCAAAACAGCTAATCTTCCATCTATAAGATTGTTTTTAAGGAATGCAGAAATACATCTACCTGTACCACGAGTTCACAGGAAGGGATGAAAAGTTACCAAAGATGTACTATAAGAGGAAAATACAGCAACACTTGGACATTTATTACGTTACTCTTTAACTGCTATGAATACAAAACTCACTTTAAGATAGAAATATCTTTGAGAAATCATAAAAAATAAAGAACCTTAAAAAAATTAATGAAGCACTGTATTTCATTCTACAACGAAGATTTTACAGACAACTAGAAGGGGAAAATATTATTAAAAAACCAAAGCAGAATAAATATTTAAAATCAGATAGACTAACCAGTTTTTACACATTCAAAGATTTCAGGCTTTTAAGAAAAAAAAATGTACTCTTCTGAAAATACCAAGTTTTATTCTAGATTTATAAATCAACATGGAAAGAGCTATTTAATAGTAGTATACTGTCAGAGAAAATAAAAATAGAAAAAACCCTGTGCAGTACTCACAAGGATTATAATTTTGGATCCTCAGTGTGCATGCTCTGTAATCATACTTCAAAATAAAATATCAACAATCAAATCTGTAGAGAAGCTGATGAATAGTTTACTTTGCTGACTCATTCCAGATACAGACACAAGTTCCAACGAAGGGAGTGCCCAGAACTGAAGAAAGGTGTGATGGAGGTGAGGGGAAGCATCTAGAAGCCCTGTCAGAGGTACCTTTGTGATCAACCTGCTGCTGAACCACCGACTGCTGTCAGTCAAAGGCTGCAATTACCGATCCGGATGGGTTAGCACTTAGTTCCGAAGCCTTCCAGCAGATGTCCTCGCAAGGCAGGCATGTCTGGGAGGTTCAAGATGTCCCCAGTTAAAACAGACAGGGAGGAAAAGACTTAAAATAGGGCTGGCATAAGTGTATAAAGGAATTCAAAGTATTCAGTATATTCTCAAAAGCCAAATTTAAAAACATAGGCAGCATGTTTAGAAAAAAGGAGTGTCATCTTAAAAACTAAAAGAAACCACCTGAACAAGTACGTTTGAAGCAGCACATCTGTTTCCACCATGTTTCGTAATTCTTACACTTCCCGTGTAAACAAAACAGAAGGTTCAAAAAATGATGGTGAAAAGCACGAGCACAAGACAAACAGCATAAAGGCTCTGATCCTCTCCCCCTCCCTTCTCTTTCATGTTAAAACTGACACTAATTTCATTGTGCACAGAGCCTTCTTCACTACTCCCTAGTGGCAGTGACATACAAATGTTGTCACGAAGCTGGTATTCTTGGAAATATAAAATCCATTTGCTATTTCAGGGAAACATAAAAAGAACAATTTCCTTAAAATAATCATCCTCATCATGACTTGTACAAATGGAAAGTTTTGATACCACATTAAAAATATTTGACTTGCCCTTCTAAGTAATGAGTAATGCATCCACAGTTAACTACCCACAGACACCTATTAGAAAAGAGAATGATTCATCAAGTACTAGTCTACGAACTCAAAGCTGGGATTCTTTACCCAGGTCTACCAGACCAGCATCTCCAGCCCTCAATCCGCTGTTTGCTTTAATGCAGATGTTCATGGCTTCACACCCAAGAAGCCATGCCAGGGAAAGGTGAAATCAAGATGAGCATGACTGACTCCTTCAAGAGCAGACACAGAAGTGCTGAAACTCATGGCTTACTGGAAGACCAGCCAACTGGGACATGTCTGTCACTACACTCTGGCTGGTAGAAAGAACTCCAGACTGTCCCAGCTTCTGGAAAATATGGGGAAGGTGGTTGACAATAGCTGGGACAGACTTGTTTGCCAGAGCTTCTTCAATGGCTCAAATAACTAGGACAGATTTGTCTGCCTGAGGTTCTTTGGTGGACCCATTGTGGCACTTACAGACAGAAAGTACTGCTATGTTCTACACACTGAATTAGGCCCAAGGTAACAATTGTCAGTTTTAGAAACACACTGCTCATGAAAGCTACAGGAATAGGGATTTTGTCAGTATTTTGTCTGAATCTTCAATAGCATGGGTGTATGCTTTTCTGCAGACTGATTGTTCTCAATTTCAACAACAAAAGTTAAAAGAACAAAGATTTTTTAGCTGGGAGTCAGTGAATGACCACGGTCAACAACACAGAACTGTTACACTTCTTAACTGGTAAATCCTTCCACGCCATAGAAACATCAGATAAAGCCCATTCTGTATGCAATTTGTCCTAGGAAAAGAAGAATCCAGGCTCCACACCCTGAAAAGCAGGTAAATACAGTATTAAAACTATTACAGTTTTTCAGTTTAACTAAGGTTCTCTTCAGCTGTCACAAAAAATACTTATAAAATTCTCTTTAATCTTTTAGTTGTGCTTTACTGAAACAAGCAAACAAAAAGCAGAGAAGAATTCCATGAAATCAAAATTTCCATTCAAAGGACAAATACAAATGATGAACAACGGCTGGGAAAGAGCAACAGATTATTATTGATTTAAGATTACTTCACGAAGCTCTTAGTCTTGAATCTTAAGCTCCTCACCTTTCAGCCACACTGAATTACAGTGCAAGCAGAGGTTAATTCTAATGGTTCCAAATGAAGACCTCCTATGGGAACAAATACACAGCTCAAACAAAACCATAAAAAATGGTGAAGCAATTCTAATTGTAACCAGCTATTCCTCCATAGCTCTAGTTTTATCATGTACACATATTCCAGTAAAATCTTTACAAATTATCTCAACAAGTCATGATTTTCCCCACTTTGCCCCATGAAAACTGAGCAAGGATAACTGTACACATCAATGGAATAGAGGATGTCATTTTATTGGAGGTCCACAGGTAATTGTATCACATTAGGGAGTGGAAGGATCTTGTGGTATGGCACAACACAATACCTCACTTAAACACTTAAACATAAGGTTAAATGATATGCAACATGATCAAATCAGTAATTCATCATCTTCTAGGCACCACTGATTAATTTAAAATAAAATTTAATAAATTCAAAAAATATAGTCCATTAATTTGTTTGCTGTACTGTCTTTAAACGAAACAGCACTTTGAAAGTCACAAATAAAAAAGCAGCACTTTCTCTTAATACCAACACCACTGTAACACATACTGTAGCGTGGCATGCAAATCCACATCTGCAGTCTTTTGTTTTGTTTTGTATTAACAAATGGAATGGCAATTTTCTATCTCAAATATTGGTAGCATAACACGTAAGTGCAGATCATTCTGGCCACAGGTGTGGTAAGCCGTAACAAGTGTGTATTACAAGAGCATAGAACACAGAGCATGACACTTACATCCAAGAATCTCTCTCTTTTGTACTGTACATGGTGTTTGGTACAGGCTGGCTTCCAACTTGCTGTACCCCAGCTTCAGGAAATGAGATTATTGACCTTTTCTGGTTTTATTTAAAAATAAAATGCAGTCACCATCAAAGCACAACCGTTAACAACCTGGTCAAAAAACTGCCATAGCTCCATTGAAAAAAATAACTTGTCCTTTTAGTAGACTCCATTAAGTGATAAAGTTTCCATTACAGGCATGTTACAAAGCCTTACAGTGGTACTGCAGCGTCATTCCTGCCGAGCACAGATCTGTATAGACACCAGGGCGTGGTGTGATGTTCAGAACAGCTGTTCAAACCGAGCTAAGCTTCACGAGGCCGCGCACCGAGTCTTCATGCAAGGAGTCCTGGCTGGCTAGGCTCAGGACGTGCATGGTGCGGCTGTGTGCAATAGGGCTCCCGCTCGGCAGCATCCCGGGGGGCGACGGAGCTTCTTCAGGAGTGAGGAACTGATGGCCTTCGTGCTCCTCTTTTAATGGTATGATGTCTGTCAAACCTGAATCTGATGTGAGATTAGGCATAGAAGATGGTGGTGTTGGTTGCCCTAGAGTCAGAGTTGCACAAGGCCCACTGAGAGAAGTCTTTCCCGGTAAAGGGAGCTCTTCACTAGTTATGCTTGGCTCGCTCTGTAGGAGGGGGGTGGCAGCAGCCTGCAAAACGAATTTAGTGCTCTGAATGCACTGATCTTGGTCACACTGTAGAATGGAAGGGTGTCAAAATCATATAAAAATAAAACAGAGAAAAAAAAAGGGACAATATGGATAAAAAGGTATGGAAAAGAATGGGATGTGAAGAGAAAAAAAGAAAGCCATTAGTATCATTCCATGGTTAGCCACCCCAACATCCCATTGCATGCTGCCCAGGAAAAAAAAAAAAGAAAGGCATGCATAACTGAGCCAATGCTTCGGATTATTATCAAAGAAAATGATTATATACATTTACAGTGTTCATTTAAGGGTTCTTTAAAAAACACTAGGCAATTTTTTCCTTTAACTGGTCTTCACATGTAGGAATTAACCTACCACAGAGGTTTTCCAGAACAAGAATTCTTTTGACAGAGATATCTTACACAGTTAGTAATAAAGCTCTATGAGTAAAATTTTTCCCCTCACAACTTAATACATTATATATAAATTCTAGAGAATGTCCTACACTACATTCCATACTCCAGAGGATGTGTAGAAAGCAGGCAGCACTGCAGATGTATTGAGATCAACCTTACTGATTTTTAGGCTGTTTTGTGATTAATCCTGACAATGTGATGAATCAAGGTACAATACACACATTTTCTAACAAGCAGTCTCTCAAAAATAAGCCAAATTCAGCATTATATAAATCCCATTAAGATCAGTGAGTGTTAGCAGAAATGTTTTTTTTTTGCTTTACACAATTCCTAAAACCAGTTTATACAATATTACCCATCATTCCTTGAGACAGGCATGCATTTCAGTGATGTCCAGCTAACTAAGCGGGTAGTACACTTACTGTCAAATTAAGTTTCTTTAACATGAATTGGCATGATTTTTGAGAGCTCCTAAGGAATAAATATTTAATTCATTGCCTGATCAGTTCTAACATTGCAGTTTTTCAAAATCTTTTTTGATTCATTTGCCAAAGTGCTGCTCTGCTGGGTCAGAAAAACTCTACAATCAGTGAATACAACTACAAATGCAATGAAGGACATTTGGAGGCAAGCAAGCAGAATAAAAGATATCTCCAGAGGTAAGACATCCTATTCACTGTTATTTCAAGTATTCTGTTAAAGCAATATGTTCTGCTCTATGACTGACTTCTTAGATTTTTATCAAATTACTACATATTACAGATCCATCATCTGTTCAGATATTCCTGACCATAACCATTGTTACTAACATTGTTACAAAATGGGCAATTCCCTAAAATGCCCATTTGAGTTTAATATGCCAGTGTGCCACACTCTCCGAAAACTCATGGGAAGGGACTTTTGCCTCCTTTATTGTATGATGAAAACCACGATTATCAATGGTTAATTAAAATAACTCTGTTATTTTCAGGTTCTCCAATTTCACCACTGAATAGCTTAATGATGGATGCACACGCCTAACATCCAGCAAGTGTGCAAGTAGACTACTTGGTCATAAGAGATAGGTAGAGTTTAAAACACATCTAAGTGGTTTAGGACTCCCAGACCGATTACTTTCGACAGGCAGAAGCTCAATCCTTACTCAGATGCATATTTCCAAGACTTCTGCTTTCAGAAAGATAAATGGACTGATCTCCTGTTACGTAAATTGATTTCATATAAATTGCAAGCAATCTTCGCCCCACAAAATGATGAACAGCCCCAGCCAAACAACTAAAGTGGTTCCCTATCATTTCAGAGGGATTACTCACAGGCTTAAAGCCATAACCTTGCTTAAGTACCTTACTAAGAAGAAAACTGTCAGCATCTTTTAAAGTCAAGCTTTCAATTAGTAATTCAGTGTGAATAACTCATTCTTGATTAATATCCTGTTATTCACGCCTGCTTATTTAAATTAAAACTTCAACCAACCTTACTATGCACACCTTAAAAATATGTTAACTGAATTTTCAAACTTCAAAAAGACCACCAAAACCTATTTTCTCTGAAAGGCAGTAGCCAAAGAACAAGTTAAATAACAAAGGAATGCTTATAACCACTGGGGTACACTGAAAACAAATAATGTTAGCAGCTGACTTATTGCTTTAGTGAACCTTCAGTTCTGATCTTCAAAAGGAAATCATTAATGTGTTCCAGGCAAACAAGTACACAGCTTTGTATTAGCTGAGGATAATTTACTTGAACTCATTGTATAGTCTGAGTTAATTTTCTTCTTAAGGAATGCTACTGCATTTCAGTTAAATTAATATCAAAAAGATAAGGTAGCCTCATAAAGCTCCATTAAATAGTGTTATAACTTCCGGTGCTAAATAACTCTTCATTTTCCATGCACTTGTCACTTCCCTAAAGCCTCTCCTTTCATTTCGATAAATTTCAGGTTTTCTTTTTCTTGTCTGTTCAACAGTGATCAGCACAAAATCCTTAGGAAAACCCAGGTTGTAAATAACTTTCTAGAAAGGGAACTATTACGCAGTCTAAGCCAGAAAAAGCATGTGTGTTCTATGAGGCTCTCAAAAACATCTGATAGAAACAACACATAATACACAGGTAGACTATTCTTGAGTCCAGACAGCCAACACAAAGCTAAAACAAGGAAATCATATTTGCTATAGGGTTTGGCGTGGTGGTTTTTTTGTTGATTTAGTTATGTCACTCTTGACTGTATGAAATTTAGGGCAGGAAGTCTTAGCTGCTACTAATCACATGAATTATCCAACACCAGAATTTGAAATAAAAGAAAAAAGCGTATGACTGTTACAAAAAGGAAGCGGAGCATTAAAATCTAAATAACTAAAAATCTACTGCAAAAATTATTCCACCAGCATCTTCTTATTTCAGATATGCTGACTTTATTTTTCACTTAAAATTTCCACTGTTTCCAAAACAGCAGATTCTGAAGGTAGGACAAGTTTAATAAGTTCTACAAGTACAGAAGTTCAACTAAATATATGCAGATAAATTTCTAGATATCTGTTTATTTTCCACATAAAAAGGCAGAAATTGAAGCAAATTGGACAAAACCTAGAATACTGTTTATTTCACAATAAATACAAACAACTAAGGAAAAATATTTTTCTTTCCTGAAGAAAATCTGTTTTTTCTAAGCTACACAGAAAATTTGATAACATTGTTGTACACGGCAATATATTTTTCACATTTCTAAATGTGATTATTTTGAAATAATCAGAATTACTTTAAATATTAAATAAACTTAAATTTAAAATTTCCTAAACGCTAGTAACATTCAAGAATTGTTACAATTCTCAGAAGATGGAAAAAAGTAGGATGAGTAGTCTCACAATCTCTGAATAAAGCACAAACAACACGGAGTTCAGAGGAGGCTGACAGTGGCATGAAGGTACAGGAAGAATGCTGAAATAGCATATTCTGGGCACAACAGATGGGTGAAGAGTGGAGGGATAGAGCTGTGCAACTGCTCCCAGCAGGTGTAGCATTTCACAATCAAAATCCATGTGCTGTGGATACTTTGCAACAGCTGAGCCACAAGCCTCCCAAGTCAATGGCTCTACTATAAGCAGTACAGTGCTAGTAGATGAGTAGGTAGAGATTCATGATGAGTAAATCTACGAAGGGAAACACTTCTGAAGCCAAACAGGAAGCTACACTTGGCCCAGAGACTTTACTTCAGATTGGAGACTGTTTGTTCTTATGGGCTGAACGTCTGAGAATGCTAAGAGCAACTTGGGTGCATTCCAGGGGTGTATCTTCTAAAATAAATCTAGTTCATGTGCTCCAACACTGCTCTGAGATGTGAATAAAAATTCAGTAAACATGCACTATCAAAAGAATTGCTCCTAAAACATATCTCAACCCAAAGCAAATGCTGAAATTTATTTACTTGCATGTGCCTGTAACCCATTTTACCTGTGAAGTAAAATGCATTAAGGAAAAACCTCTATCCACTCTGACTGTGAAAATGTTGACTTGGTAAGAGCCCTGAGTTTTGTTTTGGGCATCTGGGAAGTACATCAATAAATATGCAAGGAAACACACTTGCAAAACTCCCAGAAAAATGGGGTTGTGGTCCTTGCCAATTCTGTTATTGTCATGATAGAAATACTTACTCCTAATAATGCAAATATGAAAAGCAAGGGACGGTCAGAGTTAATGCTCCCTGAGTCAGCTGGATCTATTTCCAGATCAGTAACAGAAATACTTAAGTGAACATGTGGGAGAGGACTTTCCTGCACTTATCACTGGTAATAAATGTTGTGCATGCAGTACAGTTCCTACAATTTTCAGCAGTACATATATGTAAGAAAACACTAAAGAATTTGCATCCAGGAAAGGAAATGGGGAATTAGAAACAAGGGAATTTGGAACACACAGAACTACCTATACACTGAAGAAGAAATGCCTAGGAATTCAAGAATATAAGGACATTTCTTAAAAACAAGTAAGTAAACCTGTCCTGACATGGAGTCAAACCAAAGCAAAGTCTATCACTTTATAAGGCATGAGAGAATTCCTAGAGACATCATCGTAAATATAAACCAAACTAATTCCTCCAAAAAACTTCAAGGAATGAGACAAATTCTGTGTTTCCCCCTAATGGACTACTAAAGAATAAAATACCCTATATCAAAACGCAAGAATCAACTGCAGCTTTAAGAAAAAATTAAGTACTACAGTGGTCCAGACCCAAGTAGTGATAATTTCATGAGTTTATGGGTAAATAAGAACTTTTTTCAGAACTCAAAGAAAATAAGCTTTAAAATAAAAGAGAAAGAAGAACTTGCAGAGAAAATTATTTTTTCATAATAGGTGAGATACTGTGCTTCATACAAAAAAATTCTTAAGAATAAGGAAAATATTTGGGTAATCAAACTGATGATGAGCTCATAAAAATAATCAGCAATAAAATGCAATAGGGAAATACTTTGGTAATTACAGATCTACAGATTATGAGTTCCAAGTGACCATGCTTTTCATGTGGATAAGGATATTAAGAAGCTGGCTAATGAATTTACTGGAATAATTTTAAATTATATTGAAAAAGAAATTAAAAACACTGGGAATGCACCAGGAAAATAAATGTATGTGCTTCCAGCCTTCATGGAAATAGAGATTCAGCTTTTAGTAAAACAAGGTAGATACTATGGAGAGAACATGAGAAAAACCTCTTCTATGAAGATCTAGAAAAAAACCAAAATCAAGCTCTAACTTTCTGAGATTGTGACAAACTGGGTTGCTGCCATGAGTAGGGGTAGGTGCTGTACAAAATATTCAGTCTCAGAGGCAAAATTACCACAAAAGCTATTAAATTCAGAAAGAGTGCCCCACAAATGGTATCCTGAAAAAGAGATAATGTATTGTGCTGAAAACCATTGTCTGGCAACTTTACACTTAGCCTGATATTTATTTTGAACTTAACTGCAAAAATGAGGCTAAGCTAAAAGATTCATTAAAATAAAAGAAAAGAGAGTATTATACTAAGCAACCCACAGAGACTTAATGAGGGACAAGAGACGCATTGGGTGAAACACAAGAATTCTATTTAGAAAGCCACAAGTCACTGACTCCTATAAGGAACTGCGGAGGGAGCTGGGGTTGTTTAGCCTAATATGAGGCTCAGAGGAGAGACCTCATTGCTCTCTACAACTCCCTGAAAGGAGGCTTTAGCCAGGTGAGGGTTGGGCTCTTCTCCCAGGCAACTAGTGACAGGACAAGAGGACATTGTCTTAAGCTGCGCCAGGGGAGGTTTAGGTTGGACATCTGAAAGAAGTTCTTCACAGATGGGGTGATTACATATTGGAATGGGCTGCCCAGGGAGGTGGTGGAGTCATCACCCCTGGAGGTGTTTAAGACCGGATGTGGCACTGAGTGCCATTGTCTAGGTGACAAGGTGGTGTTTGGTCATAGGCTGGACTCGATTCCAAAGGTCTTTTCCAACCTAGCTGATTCTGTAAAAGATTCGGGGGAAGAAAGGGAAATGAAAGAGGGAAGGAATAAGAGAAGACAAGTGAGAGAGAATATGCTGATTTGAATCTTTATTTTTTATCAATGATGAGGAGAGATATTTTAGCACACTGTGTATTAAGCAGGGTAACATCTAGAATGAAGACCTGATGTAATACATTCTGCAACAAAAATCAAGAGAGACAGACCACAAAGGTGTACTGAAACACACTTCAGACTTCTACTAATTTATTTATTGTAATCAAAAAGCATTAAAGTAGTATAAATAAAGCTAAAGTAGTATAAATATCTCTGATGATGTATAAATGGCCAAACTTCTGCAATTGAAAAACTGTTATGGTCTACAGCTATGATCTACACATGCCCCTTTAAGCCAAGGAATTTCACTTTGTCTGTCTTTAGCTGAAATCATAACACCAGCTCCAGTACCAGATATATTCCCCTCAACAGAGAAGGGAAAATAGTGTTAGAGAGATGGGTAAACTAAGCCAGTCTTTAACAGTTTACAACAAACTCAAGGGAGAAATTTCATTGCCGATAGCCAGCAGTCCTTAGAAACCAACTGGTCTTGGATACAGACGAAGAGAAAAGATGCCCTGAGAAAAATGGCATTACAGTTTTCCAAAATATTCCTTCAAACCAAACAAGACTTATTACATTTTTCAAGCTTTTCTAAGAGGTCATTTTCAGGAGTGAAATCTGCACATTTCTGAGCAACTCTGATAACTGTTAAAGAACACAGGCTTTTCCCAGCTCATGTGGATATAAGCTCATTTTCCAGCTCATTCTAGGATATAAGAAGAAATCTTTGAAGAATTTGTGTAATTAGAGGTATTACACTCTAAAATTGTGACAGCTACCCATTTGAGTTAAAGTAACACCATAACAGATTTCTCCATTTCTAGAGACAAACGTAGTCAATTTTCTCACAAACTGACAAAGATTTTCTCATTACTATCTAGGAATAATGATAGTGTCTAAATTCTTGCAATGATAAAGACAATTTAATGCCATGGACGCATTGTGGGTTTATGATCCTCACAAATAAGAAGCCTTGACAGCATCAGAAAGCTTGGGTAATCCCAGAAAGACCTCAGCCCATTTCTAGTGTTTGCTTTCTCTTTTTTTTTAAACTCCCTTTTCTCTCTTCAGAGTTACATATTTTGAGTAAAATTTACATAGAGTATTACCTTGTTCTGCTCAACTGTACCTCAGAAGATTCAGATTTCATACCATGTCTCTAATACATTTTCTTATTAATGAGACTAACAAATCTATTTAATTCTCAAAGAATTAAGTAAAACCAGCTTAGGAACTACTGCAAAATTTTTATACGAGTTTATCAGTGAGACTAAAACTAATCTGTCTGGGAAGAGTGCATCTTTTCTTCTTTTGTTCAAAAGAAAGGCTGAACTATGTCAGAAGGCCTCGTGGCTTCCTCTTTTTTGGCAGAAGAAGGGTATCCATAACTCACGACTTCTTTGAGAAAGTATTAGAACCCTCATAATGTGAAGATATGTGGACAACAATTCAGAAATAGGCACATATGCAAGATGGTTGCCTTCAGAAGAAGGTCTCTTTCCAGTTATTCTCTTCTTGGCACTGGAAATCCTATCTTCCATTATGATAGCCAATGCTACCAGCAAAAAACCAAAGCAAACACTACTGACACAGTTTCAAAGATGTTTAAAGAAGTTTTGTTGTAACAATTCAGTAGTCATTTTTTGTTTGGGTTCACTGTCCTTCTGCTCTTTCTTCAAAATATTTCTCCCCTAGAAACTCCTCCTTGTTCATCTTTGCTTTTTAAAATACATTAGTCTATGCAAAACCGCAGTGCATAAGCAAAGAAGGAAATAGAGTATGAAGAAAGTGCCACACAAAATAACAATTAGCTGGAAAATGATGAACCAGAGTAAGTCCATGATACTTGAATATTCCAGTTCAAAACACAGTAGGTGTCAACAGCAAAAGTCAAAATGCCAGTATATTCAATAAATCAACAGCATAGAAAAGACTTTTTTTTTTTACAATTCATGAGCAGTAACTATTACACTGTGTGAAACGCACATTAAAAAGAGCCTTGGACTTTGAGGTTTTTTTTCTGTACTGTTATTAAAGAACTCATTCCACCCAGTGTGTCAGCTGTATCCAGTTAGTTATTACTTGATTAGTTCACATGAAAGTGGAGAAGAAAAACATTCACAGGAATCCTGATGAACAACACTATGGGATGATTCCTACCATGTTGCTCTGAGATTGTGTGGCCCCGTACATGGTAATGCCATTTGACGGTCCTGCTAATTGCGGTGTATCCGGCTGTATAAATCCTCTTCTGTCAATTAAGCTACAGAATAATCACAATAAAGGGAAGTATTAGAGACATTGCTGCTCAATAACTAGCTCCTCTCAATACAAAGAAATAAAAACTTTCTATCGTACAACAGACCTTAATGACTCACCAATAGCTTCTAATGTCCCCTTTCAGCCAAATGAAGTACTAGACTTCATTTTCTACTCACCAGGTGCTTGTTCTTTGTGATACTGCCTGTCATATAAGCTCACACACTGCTACTTTTTTTGATTTTTATTACATAGACTTAGAAGCTTACCAGCAGATATCACAAAACCGAAGAATTTTAAACCACAGGTGAAAAAACAAATGACAAAATTCACTTAGGGCACTTTGATTCAGTATCTTTTTTTTTTTTGGGTTTTTTTTTTTTTTTTTTTTTTTTGGTTGTTGTTGTTTGGTTTTTTTTTACCAGCTTCCACATCTAAATTGAAACTACTTAATCACAAAATTTAGCAGGAATGAAGAAAACTTAATCTTTCTTTCTGACAGATAACTTAACTTGCCAGGTGTTTCATGACAGCCACTTAACACTGCTTTATAGGGTTCCACTGTGCTTACCACAGTGATGCGTTCATTAAACTTCTTATTTCTAAGAAAATGCTGTGGAGAAATTACTAAATGTAAGCAAAAAAAAAAAAAAATCTGTGTAAGATTAAAACCAAATACATAGAATGAAATAATCCAACCTAGTTAAAGATGCCTAAAGATGCCTAAAGAAGTTATATAATTTGTTGCACCAGAATACTGGTTAGACCTATACTGACAGCCAAGGATCAAATTAAGATTTGAAAGTAACTGTTGAGGACATGTAAAATACATTCCGAATTTGCTAGCACAGGTTTAAAAATGATAAATGATCTTTAACATAAGTGAGATAAGTTTTGATTATTTACGGATCCTCTCTTCATCTGCATTCCATGCTCAAAGGCACTTGAAGGTTTTGAATTTTGAGTTGAAATTACTGGTAAGCCACTTTTCCAGAATCTCAGGAAAAAAAAATAATATTTAGTGACTTGGGCATAGCTGAGATGAAAAGTAAAAAACGCAAGCTTATAATTTACATGTTACAGTCAGGAAAATTTTCCCTGTGGTCACAAAATACCTCCCTGCAGAACCTCTATATATACATGTCAATGTCTGTATAAGTAATGTTGCTACATGGAATTTAGGAAACAATGCACAAACTCTCATAAAACACAGGAGCCAATGCCAGTCTGGTCCAATTCAGTGTTGCTACTTTTATCAGCCTAACATACTATTTCATATACTGAGAAACATGATGTAGTTTTAATAAAGATTTCCATTTGCAGTCAAAAGAATTTGAAGCGGGGCATTGAGATTTTATGTCACATACTTTTATCAAAAGCAAAATTTCAGAATTAAAAGGTTGGCTTCAGGCAACATCTATACAGGCAGGAAGCAGAAACAAAGCTATTCACTCTCATCAGGGGTAACCCTGTATTTGGAAATCTCTATTCTGCTGTTTCCCCTTTATGAAAAGATGTCAGTCTCCCCTGTTAAACTCTGACTGCTCGTGGAAGAACCACCTCTGACATTCCTGACAGCAAAGCCAGAAATCTCACTCCAATTAAACACCTGAGACTCTGGACCATAAAGTCATTTACTTTCTTTCTTCTTGTTCAGATTCATAACTTCGCAATTCCAGGCAAAGCAACACATACCAATCAAGAGCAGGCCACAAAATTATCTACAAGTTTTTCTGCCCCTCTCTACAGTGAAACTGGGTCTCTACTGTGTATGTAGAGCACTGGAATAAGAAAAGAATTAAGTTTTTCTGGCTGCCAGTTTTATTTCTCTAGACTCAGCTCTGTACTACATTTTATTCAAGATGAAAAAACATCTCCAATCTGAAATATATAAATATTTCAGACTTCCAGAGGTGAAAATGTATTCAGCAAAACATAATCTGTTACATGTTCTTTGGAATAGCTTTGGTGTAAGACCACCAAAATCAGTTTAATATATATGTTAACAGTATTAAATAAAAAAAAATACTGTCCATTTAAATACAACATTGCAGAGCTAAAAGACAAAATCAACGATTATCAAGCTAGTTGTAGATTTAAGGTTCCTCAACTCTCCTCAACTCATGTCACGTTTGTTAGGTATGTAAAAGTTTCATAAACTTCATGCAACAGCTAACTACTAAAAATTTCTTACTGCTCTAAGATATTAACTGTAGTGGTGAAAGTCCGAATAACAAACAAGCTTCTTTCCATTTCAGATATAATTTTACAAGATTTGATCACTAACTTAGTTTAAACAAAATTTACCAACTTATCTCTTTGCCACTGAAGAAAAACTTAAAGCTTCTAACGGACACTAATCTAAAACTTTCATTTTGCTGAATAAACTCAAATAATCAAAAAGAATAATTTTTTCATTAATCATCACATGGCTTCATTTATGCTAACAATACTTTTGATACTCTTACCTTGGAGAGAGGGGCCCACAGAGTGCAGCACAGCAATTAGTAAAGATGTTGCCATAACTGTAGGGATTATAGTTTTCTTTACCTCTTTTATTTGACCATGATCCTTTAATCTGAAGAGATATGAACAACATGCATCACATGTAATACAATACAGAAAATGGCTGTGAGAAATTAAAGTTGCAACATGCTACTTGCAGAAGAGACCACAGAAAATCCATAATGACACTTTCCAAACAATTTAAGAGTTCTGGGTTGTTATGAAGGCTGGAACATAAGAGCACATGCTTTAGCTCCATAGATGTAGACAACCCACAATCTCAAGAGATCAATATACTCAAAACAGGAATTTCAGCATCTAAGCATAATGGTCCAAGTTCAATTTTACAAATATTATAGCATGTTTTACAGAAGAGGCTCAATTGGAAAATATGATTAAAGCCAGCAATTGAGCGCTTCTTTTCCATCCTCTTGGGTAAGTTTTCAAACTGCACAATATCACACAACATTATCTTCCCTAAAGTTCACAAAAGGTTTTAAAATATCATAAAGCAAATGCAGTCATTGCTACCTTTTATTGCCTATTACATTTTCCCTTAGCTAGTTTGCTTTTCTGTTTGTGAGATACTTGAGAGCCTGAGTACAATGTCTTGCTGTATTCAATTGGGAATTTTTGTTTTACATTAAATTACTGAACAGTTTACTTGATATTCAGACATGTTCCACTGCTGTAGTTCCCTGCTATCTATCTTTCAACAATCCAGAAGAGACATTTACTTGAGGGAAGAGGGTGGAAGCACACTAAGTCCATCTAGACAGACAACCTTGGCATAAACCTAATGACTGAGGAATAACCGGGTATCTCATCTGTCTTATTAACAAGGCAGATTTCTTCCAAGTCAGGCTACTTGTTCTGATGCTTGATGCTGAGGCACAATTCATTTTGATTCTGCTTGGGAAGTGTTTTTTTGGATGACTGATATTTATTGTAAAATTTATAATTTTAACTGTGACCTTAAACAATAACAAAACATATTTGACAATATTAAAGGTGCTCCTTTTATATCTACCAGATACCTGTGAAAAAGGTACAAAAGGAAATTACAATAAAATAACTTGAAGCTTGCAGTGTTTGTTATATCACTTATTAAATTTCCAAAAGCCTTCTGTACCATTAGCTCCCTAGCTGATTTTATATTCTCCTTTCATTCATTACACATTTCTGCTTTTATTTAGGGAAGGACACATGAAAACTCTACACACAGTTAAGCATAATTCAACACCAAAACAAAGGAATCCTATATGCAAAATAGCTATAGAAATGAAAAAGTTGATCTTTAAATTAATGATATACTCCTTGCCAGAGGTTTTGGACCTCCAAATGGCAAAAATGTTTCAGAGGTAAGATAACGTAAAGGATGAAATTTTTGTTTAGAGAATTCAACACACTTTTCAAGTTTCACAGTAAGCAACTTTGGAGTTAAAGAATATTTACCACTCCCAGTGAAAAGGAGATACTGAAAAGAACTTGTTAATTTCCTACTGTATAAAATACACTTATTTGTCTCCTCCCTCCTGTATTTTCCCATTTCAAGACAGAGATCCTACATGTGTAAACCATAATGGACATACTATGTATATAATGAGCCCATTTTCAAACCTCAACAAATATTGTCAAAAAGACTTCAACTGATCTTTTGAATCAAGCATGACCATATTACTTTCCTTCTTTCCTACTGAGGTATTCACAAAATGATGCAGACATGTCTAACTTGAGAAAAACCTCCTCATTACTATTTAGAAATACATATGTAGAAATATACTACAAACTTACATCTTCATTCGTTGTTTGATTGGAGCTGATCAAATACGTATGAAAACCTGAGAGGCCAACAATGGACCATACTGAGAAAAAACACACCACAGCTTCCAGCACAGTAATTAAAAGTCAAGGAAATATACACAAATGGGAAGAAAATCCAAAAACAAGTAGTTAAAATAACAAAATATAAGGTAGCCCACAAGTCCTTTGAGATCTCTGGAGTACTTCAAAGGGGTCAGCCAAAAAGAAACTCTAGGCATCTGCCTAGGCCAGACACAACACTCTGCAGACATGGTGAGGAGAGTGTGTCCAGCCAGCAGACTGGGGGTGTGAAGTGCAATGTCCAGGGCTGCACAACCCAGGTGCACGGGTGGCAGCTCGCGGGGTGCCACCACGTGTGACTTACAGGGAACAGCACAGGGACATGTCCAGCACAAGCATCCTCACCTCCAAGGGAGAAGCAAAAGTGCACATGCATACAGTCAGCAGTGAACACTGCATGCTTAATACAGTTTATATAATTCTTTTAACTCTAGAGTCATTATCTCCTAAGTAAGACAATAAAGTTGTTTCTAAACTGTATAGAATCAAGCATAAAGAGGAACTTTCCAAACTTTCTGTAGAAGGCTTTCTTCTACAGCTTTTATTTATTTATTTATTTACACAAAACAGCCATGAACTCAGAATACATCTGCTTTGAGAATGCTATTTTCTATAATATTTCAATATTTTTGGGATTTTTTTAAGGGAACATGATTCATCAGAATAAAAGGTTTTGGTTCCTAGAAAAATACATAAATTCATCACCAGGAACAAAATGATGAGAGAAGAATAGGATAAAAATAATCTGTATATTAACCATATCAACCTTTAGTGAAGTCAGTTTCCAAGACAATGTCAACTCAAAATTTTCCAGAATGAGGACACAGCCTTAGAACACAGAAAATACACCTTATTACTGAACCTATCCATAGAAGAAAAATATGACAGCTCCTGACCATTACACAGAGACACGACCAGGAAATGGCATGGATGGACATAAATACTTGCAATAAAAAGTCCTAACATTAGTTAAAAGTAAAGAGTTTTGTATTGCAGTGCTGCTCACCCTTAATGAGCTGGGAGATACCTGAAGTGCCTATATAATTTTCCCTAGGACCTATTTCAATCAGAGTGGTTTAAAGCCAGAAAAGAGCCATTTGCATTCTGAGCAATCTGCTCCAAAAGCAGCAGGATGACCAAAGTGCACTGCTGAGCAGCAGGTTCACTACTCTGCCTCTCATTTCCTCCTAGGCTGTGTGATGTCAAACCAGCACAAGACAGGAACTCTGAGTGTCTGCAACGGCCACAGCTAAAGGAAGGAGTACAAGGGATAACGGGTAAGGAAACAGACTCTTGGCAGAGGGTTCCAAAATGTGTAAAGAAGGAAACAGCCCAAAACATCATGCACAATACAAACTGGGCTTTGAAAGAGTAGAAATAGTAAAGAAGGCTGCAGATGAGCACGGTTGGGTAGAATCTACACACCAGGTGGAAGATTCACAAGGTCAGAAAAGAAGAACCTTAGAGGGAAAAGAGGTCCCTGCAACCTGAATGTATCACAGGATGTTCCTCACCACAATTACACTCAAAAGGGCAAAAGGGTACTGAAAAGTGAGTTTTCTCTCCATGTTGTAATTCCTACTGGGGAATAAAAGAAAGGAAAAAAAAAAAAAAAAAAAAAAAGAAAAAGGGGAATTCCTTTCAGTTCAAGACCTCTTTCAGTTCCCTACAGGAAGGGACATTTTTCAGTTCCCCACACAATGATCCAAAAACAACTCAAGAACAGCAGGGTAGTTTACGTCAAATTAACCAGAACCCACTAATTCAACCTAAGTCCATTAACTGTAAAACAAACACAAAAAAGCAATGTATTCTCAGCAAAGTGCAACCTTGTAGCACATTATGGTATAGTATCTTACTAGGACCACACAGTATAATTTCCTCTTAGTATTTTGCACAGAGTTGTTAGCAAAATTGAAATGGCCATGTTCTCTGAGCCTGAATCAACTGCCTCCAAAGTAGCATTCCCAATACTATTTGGACAATTTAATTTTTTACTGTTATTAATTGTAACCAAGCTTTTAAATTGTCCAACATATCACTATCAAGCCAGGCATTTCTGCAAGATGTGCTACTAAGCCTTTTAAAGCAGTACATCTCTGAACAAAAATTGTGAATTCCAGGCCATTGTTCCTGTACAAAAATCCTCAAATGCATAAGCAATTCTCTTTTGATTTAAAGAGAACTGAAAGCTATTCTTAGTTTGAAAACAGTTTGAAAGAATTATCTTTTGTAAGAATTGACTGTAATTGTTTTAATTGGAAGCTACTGTTATCCTATTTAGAACTGTTTGTTTGTGCTTTTTAAAATTATTTGTACAAGAAAATCTGAACACGGCTTTGCTTAAGAAGGGACTTTACAGCTCAGTGATTCTACTTGATGAAGACAAGCACACAAAAAAAATTGACACTTGGGAAAATTACCTGTAAAGAGGTCTCTATGCACAACTATGAATGACAGTTTTTTTCTTCCTATCTTTGTGTGGAAAAGCAAACTGTGTAAGGCACAATGGACAAATGGGAAATAATTATTTTTATAGTGTCTTTGTGAGAGGTGAAAACTGTGTATTCAAACAGAAATAATTCAAAACATATACATAAGCAATGGGAAGCTTACTGTCTGTACAAAAACTAACCAGTGGTTTCATCAGTTTCCCATTTTTCTATTATGTTAGCTGCTTTCTGGCTCCATTCTCATTGAGTAGTAAATGTACAGAAGGCTCCCATGAAGTGATAAAAAGTGCATGGAGCACTTACAGAATAGAACCACAGAATGGCTTGGGTTGGAAGGGACCTTAAAGGAAATATAGTCCCAAGCCTCCTGCCATGCGTAGGGACATCTTCCACTAGACCAGGTTGCTCAGAGCCCCATCCAGCCTGGCTGTGAACACTTCCAGAGATGGGGCATCAGCCCAATCTCTGGGTAACCTGTTCCCAAATCTCACCACTCTCACTGCAGAAACTTTGTTATGGCCAATCTACACCTGCTGTCTTTCAGCTTAAAACCTTGTTCTGCCACCACAGGCTAGGAAGTCTCTCTGTTTTCCTTATGAGACTTCTTTACATACTGACAGACCTCAATGACACATTCAACAATAGCAAGGAAACAAGCAAAACCATCTCAGATGTTATTTTGCAACAAAATCTACAATATGTTTCAGGGAAAGGATATCTTGCAGGACTGTCCTTCAGAGCATTGAGGAACCCTGTTTGTTGAGAACCTGTAGAAATAGAACCCAAAATTACCAGCCAAGTAAGAAACTGGACTATGGGCTGTTTTTACTATAGTTAAAATAATTAACATTTGAAGTTAACCAAATAATCATAGAATAGATTTACTAATATGAATCTGAGAATATGTTGCTCAGCAGCAACAACATCAAAAAAGCCCTTGAGCAACTTATCAGGTTTAGCATCTGCAGGATATTTTCTCAGTCATACTAAATTGATGCACACATACTTTCCCATGAACAAGATTTCTGATTACCCCTGTCTTTTTCAGACCTAATATGGAAACAAAAATTATAACCTCCTGTTTCGTTTTGAAATACCATTTTTCAAAGTAATTTTTTGACTTGTAAAATTTACTCTATAAACTCAGATTCCCAACTTTCCATCCTTTGTTTTAGAAGCAACACTCTCTTATTTATAATTCTGCTCCTACTGCACTTACACAGAAGATTTTTCTAATAGGCTACTATTATCTCTGGGCAAATTAAAGACAATCTAGTAGCTGAAAACAGTTCAAAAGAAGTATGAGCCCATCAACTAGAAATGTAGAAGCATGCAAAGTAAAAAAGCACTTGGGTTCCATAACCATGAGATATTAATAAAATAGGATGATTTCACAATTTTCTGATTGCAGCAAGTGAATTTGTTGTAGAAACTGACTTAATGTGACATAGCTACAGGCACACAGTTTGAACTTTACTGTATAACACAAATTATTTAAATGCATCAGGCTGAAAGTTTTCCCCTAAGCAGAAATTTTCCACTTAGCTAAATTAATCTGAATATCTGTATGGAGAGAAGAATCTTGTCTTGACAAGAAGAAAGAAATATATGTATAATTCTCTATACCTATCTGGTCAGTTTTACTTTTTATTGTTACAAGTGGTATGTTACTCACCTTGTATTTCTGAGCTTTTTCAGACTCTTATAATTGGTTCTTAGTCTCAAGGTACAAGACTAATGGAACTTTCCCTTTCCCTACCTTCTTACTATTTTTAGCATCCTGAATGGCAATGGCAGCAGATAGGTGTGATTTCTATACCCTACTGCTGGTCACACTCTTCCAAGCAGTGCCCAAAACAAACAGGTGAAATATGATGCCTCAAAGAGAGACAAGTAACTGTAAAGACAGATACTACTACTGGAAATGTGTTCAACTTGGGGAGAAGGAAGAAAATCTTGCAGGACAGTACCTTTAGTAACTGATTCACAAATTAGTTTTATTATCTTCAGTAATGTTATGTGCACATATTCTTAAACCTATAAAGAACAAATTTCCAATGTATGCCTCAGAAGGCCACAGAAAACAAAAAGATATATCATATATCTCATCACCACTTAGGCCCACAAAAATCTTAAAATGCCAGCTTGCAAGATGCATTATAAAAAATATACGGACTTTAAAATTTTGTCTACATCAAGAGGCATTAAAATAATTTTTCCAGGACTTATGTATGACTTTGAAATATTGTACGAAGGTCATAGTCTGAGGTCTAAAAACTGAGATTTCCTTCAGCCACAAACTGTTAACAAAAAGCAGTCTATGCCAAGAGCAAAGGTTCACATTCAGTAACTGAGAATCCCTTAATGGTTAGCATCAGCTAAAGAACTGAAGAGCTACAAACCAGAACACAAATTGTTGAGTGGCAATTATTAGAAAGGTAGAGAGGAGGATTTCTAGAGGTATGGTAGGTACAAAGAGAGTGGAGTGATAAGAAAACCTTATTTTTAAAGAACTCTGTTTTGGACACTGTCAAGACAAATTTATAGGAGACAAATTTGAAAGCTGGGCTTGAAGCTTCAGTATATCAATCAAACATCAAGGAACTAATCACATTTCATACCTGCTCCCATTGCCTTTGAGGACTGACCAATCTTTAGAGCTTAAGGATGTTTTTTCTTGTCTCATTCTAGGTAGATGAACCTCCACGGCAAGAATATTTTGCAGCTGACAGGCAATTCAGTATTTAACATTTACTATACATAATCTGTAACACCTACACAATGCTCAAGTGCTTCTCAACCACACAGAAGCACAATTAATTACTCCGCTCTTTGTCTAAATCATACTAAGGAGTTAGGTATAGACACTGTAAATTTCAAATCCACTAGATAAACCTACTTAACATACATAACATGAAATACTGACATTATATTGGTAACTTATATACTGAAAACTAAAGAAAAAGCACTGAATTGCTTGTGAAATGAAGGTAGGATAGTGTCAAAAATAGCTTTACATTCTCAGACTAGGAATGTTTTCAGCTACTGAACACTATCAAAGATTGTAGAAAAAACCCACGTGTGTTTCTTCTTAAATGTAAAAAGTGTGTATGTATATGCTCATGTATGCCCAGATAGGTAACAAGCACTTAAGTATTAATGGCAAGTGTTCCTTTTCCAATAATTTTCCTTTTTTAAACAATATATACATCTTATCTCTGGTTTTTCCAACTGGGATTAGAAATGCTGTATCTGGTAGTATAAACAAGTTGTTCATTCAGACTCCCTCAAAATTACAGATCCTAGCTGTAGCTTAGGAACTAGCTATAGGAGGGCCTCTCGGTGCTTGCATCATAGTTCTGCAAAGAATAAATAAGAGGAGGAATTCTGCTCTTTAAAATACAACTTTTCCCTGCATGCTGTAAACAATTTTGGAAATTGAGCAAAATTTGACATATTTTTTCCAGTAAAACATTCTCTGAATATTATCATTATCAAGATAGCTTTGTAAGTGTGTTATATACTGAAGTTATTTCTATCAGGTTTCTGTTGCAATACAGAATACAAAGGAATAAACAGATCACATTTCTGAACTGGTTAAAGAAACACTCTTTGAGGCAATAGCCTATATAATAAGTGAAAAATATAGAATGCTCTTCTAGCAATAATAGGTTAAAAAACCCAACATACAAAAGGTGTTTTAAGACAAGTCATGCAACCTGTCACCATCATCATCATATAGGAGCCAGAAAAATTAGTTAGCCATATGGAAACAAAAGACAGTACCCAAAAGAGTTTTGACCTCAAACACAACCCAGAATACAAATAAAAATCAGTCTCAAACTCATTAATATTTCTGATTCACTCTATTATGAATTGATTATTCTCAGAATGTCTATGCAAATGAAAAAAACACATGTTAAAAATAGGGTTGAGAATGGTGTACACCTAAGCAGGAAACTACAAAAAGTACAGCTCCAATCTATTTTCTAGTAATTTACCTTTGTCTGGATGGCAAGTGACCCATGCTTACAGTAAAAAAGCACACAGAAGTTCTTTAGGTAAATTATACTACCTGTATACTTAAACATACAGTATATGTGATGCTCTTCCAATTAATCATCCATAAAAGGACAAAAAAAATTAAAACCAAAAAAATTAAGACTGCATTAAGGTAAAGCCAGCGGCAGGCCAATGACTACTATGAGCAGTGCCTACTAAAGACCAGAATGGGACTCACTGGGAATTGTGAAGCTTCAGAGAAAAGGCAAATAAACAAACAAATAAATAAATAAATAAACCCTGAATGATCAAAATATTAACTTAAAAAACTCAAGCAAATGGCTACATACGTAATCTGATTTCACCAGCATACTTACGAAGGATGACGTGGGTGATAACGAATGCAAATATAAAGACTGTCAGAAAGGACAGAGATAAAATAAACATATAAAAAAATCTGTAGTTTCTTTTCCCCACACAGTTGCCTACCCAGGGACAGTGGTGATCAAACCGTTCTGAAATGAGAGGCAGAAGAAAAAAAAATGGAAAACAATTAATAAAATGCTGTTTATTCAAAAAAATGCTCTCTGAATACTATACTAAAACTCATGATTAATCTGGCATTTGCAAAGTAGCCACAGAGAAGTTCTTATTTAGAAAGGAACAAAAAACAGAAAAGAAAAAAAAAGGCGTACTTGAATGAAACCTTACAGTTTTTAAAGAAATCAAAGCATGGCTCAGGTGAGTTCCTGTTAAACTAACAGTCTTATTGTGACAAACTGTGCAGTCAGACCAGCAAGCATGTATATATCCACTATCACATGGAGCATTAGCAACTCAGCTGTATTTGATTTTTTTCAAAAGAAGGTGGTTTTTTTTTCCTTCAGTGCATCTTCTACTCAAAATTGGAATTTCTGAGGTTCTTTCCTTTACATCAGTCATGATCACACCTCTGACTTATGCCTACTATCATATCATCCATCCATTTGGAGCATGAAATACTGATGCCTTCCCACTTCCTTTTATTGCTTCGTTCAAGATATTCTTCATTCTAGAGCACTTATTTTTCCACTTGGAGTTGACGCTGTCATATAAGATCATTGAAAATAGCAGAATCATTCACATCAAACATTTTTCAAATGTTAAAATTTAAATACATCATATAAAACCTGGTAATCTGCATGCTCTGCTCCCCTTTGCACTATAGCCTCTGTCTCCTTTTTACTAAGCAAAACCCTTACTCCTTACTTCCCTGAGAGAACTTGTCCATGAGATAGGAAAAGGCCAGGGTGGATCAGAAACAAGTTGTCCCCAACATGGGGGAAATTCCTCAGTGCTGGAAAGTAGCAGAGGGAATGGCTTACTCTGCTTCTCCCCAGACAGCCTGGATCCACCCTCCACGTCCCAATACGTTGGGTAATGAAACAGAGCTGTTGCCAGGAAACAAACTTGCATTTCCTAACTTTACTTTGGAGAGATTACACTGACAGAATTTTAAGGTTCTTTTAACCAAATCCAAAACCCTAAGACAGATGCATTCATGCTGACTCTTTCTTTCACTCTCTGATCCTTGTCCAAATCCTGGTTTGTTTTCTGTGATTTTCATGCCTCCACTGACGTACTATCAAACTATTTGTAATTCCACAGGAAAGGCGAGCTATAAATCCAAAGTCCTTTAAGCGCTGTGTTAGAAAGGCACATCTGACCAAGTACACCAGCTTATTTTACTTGTGGATTGTTAAAGGCCTGTATTAGAGGTTTTTCCTGAAGGATGTATTTAGTATTATCTTCATTTTAAAAATGTCAAAACAACATGCACAACAGATTTCTGAGTCTACGAGACTTTCAGGGCCTTTTTTAAAATGGTTTTGCATGACAGCTGTTTAGACCACATGTTTCTGCCATAAATCTGTTTCAAATTCCAACAAGGCTATTCAAGGTGAAGTTACTGAACTTAGGATAAGGCTTCATAATACTGTGATTGAGGGAGTACTGCTAAGAATACCAAGAACTAAACACTCTGGGTAGGTGATACTACCTTTTCTCAGTGCACTACAGTTGTATTCCCAAAATAAATTGATATTGCATTTTAAAAGTGCTTGTCTTTAAATCCGTGTTTCTGAATGAGCCCTCATTTTCTGATAAACAGTCTACTTCATTTAAATTCATTCATACATACAACTCATAAGCAAACACCACAAAGAAACACAGCTACAGAGCCATTTTAGAAAGCAGAATCATAGGTATATTTTTGTAACCTACTGCTAAAAAAATACATTACGTGTCTTGGAAGATGGATTCTGTATACATAGATTCATTCTCCTCTATGCTGACACAGTAGGGAAATTAATTATAAAATAGAGACAGACACAAAGCTGTTCCTAACCATGAAATAATATTTAGATACTTGCAGACATCTATTTGATGGATAAATGCAGACAAAAACCACGCACATACACACAACCCCTCCATCTATAAACTCATGCTCCTATACATGCACACACTCCTTACTGAGGACTGACTCTGTGCTTTTAACCTATTTGTCAGTCCTCTTGAATTTCCATCTTCAAACTTTCCTGGTGAACTGAAATGCTCTGCTTTCTCAATAAATACCTTATTAATTACTGTGAAGTAAGTAACTACCTAAAATATTTATAAAGGAGGAATGGACCAAAAAGGCTGGATACAAAAACCAGTACTACAGTATTAAACCGGAATAAACTCTAATGAAAAAAGAGGCATATTAAAAGGCTTACATGAATCTTATGATAAATAAATTTGGTCTCTTTTTTCTCAGTCAGAAAATAGAACAGCATGTGACATGACAGTATATTAAAGGGCAAGACATTCACTCAGCAGAATATAAATATGTAAATGCAATTTAAAGATAACAGCCTTACAGCTTGTGAGCTGCTCTGCTTAGTTATTAATGCAGGAGAAAATTGCCAACCCTAGCAAAATGAAGAGGCAAATGCTACGCAGAGACTTCTAATGATGTTAAGAAATAAAAAAATCTGTTAAATCTGGAGCTGTTCCTCTTTCTTAGAAAAACACACGACGTAGTAAGCATTAATGAAGAAGTAACAGCGTCTTAAGGTTCACCTCCAGCATTCCAGATGCCTGACAAATGAACAACCAATGATTTTGTAAAGGAATCTCTGACATCTCCACTGGGACAATGTTGGCAGCAAAATTAAGACAACTTCATTGAGAAATGAAAAACTACTGATGCTGAGAAAAACTGGAATTCCAGCCCTCATGAACTTCAAATGCAGAGCAAATAGAAATGCAACTTCTTGTGAAGAACAGACTGTTAAGAGGTCATGAATGCAGTTCTGGATAGTTAACATACTACTGTAGTCAAACAAACATTTGTGGCAAGGTCAACGTAAAAATATTTGAGGCAAACAGAAATTAAAACAAAAAAATTGGTAACATAAACTCTTGTTAATAAAAGCATGTAAGAACTCATAACGAGGGAAGAAGAAAGCTGAAGCGCTGTGTGGATAGAAACATTATGATATATCATCCTCCTACACTCCAGTTCAAACAAAAGGAGCAAGATATTTGCCTTCTTGATGTTACAGCTGTATCTTGTATCTACCTAATCAAGAACCAGTGATAGAACAGTTGGCCCAGTTTCTACCATTTCAGCAGTTGCCTTTTGCCTGTGTGTTCATGGCTCTCCATTCTTAGGTCAAGCCTGGTGCTCATTTTACCCTGCAGGGAGCAGGTTGACAGACCCAGATGAACCTAAAACTGAAGCTTTCTTTTGCCTGTCTCCTCAGATCACCTCATCAGACAAACACCAAAGTGAGCTCAAGTGAAGCACTGAGAACACTGCCAGAGAAGGAACGAAATAACACCTTCAGAAGCAGCTAAGTGTTAATTCAGCCTAGCTGTGACATCAACCTTACTACAGCTTAGCACTTATCACAACTGCAGGAGAAATCCAGTTTTGATTAATTTTTCAGGGTCTGAGATCAAAACCTAAAGCAAATAAAAAAAGACTGAAAATATGTGTGAAGAGTTTATATGGTAATGCATCAATGAAAAGAGGAGATGAGTAAATGGAGACTATAAATGCTGCCATACAAGTCACAGAAAAACAAGAGGTGAGAAATTTCAGGAACTGTCAGTAACAGTAATAAAGAGTATTTAATGACTTTTTCCCAAGTGATCCGCATCTTTGAATTTAAATAATAATTTCTGACGATAGCCAGAACCCCCATAACTAAATCCAAAGGATGAGGCTTCACAAGATAACAGCCAATCCAAAACGATAGCAGTGAAATAGATGGTCAAATGCTGCCTTTCCTGCCACTTCATCCCACTTTCTTCTTCCTAAGCTGATGATGAATCAAGTCAGTTCCCTGGACCAGCAGGACAGAAAAAAAAGGAATTATTTTGCTCATTGATGAGTGGAAAAAATTGACTTACCAATGCCTGTGTTACCAAATGGTCTGTGAACAGGCACAAACGAGAGAATAGTGGAAATAAGGAAAAAAGAAATAAAGAGGAGGACATTCACATCCCTTTGGAAGCAGCAAGCTGCCAGCAGGACTCAGTGTTCTCATTAACACTCACCCAAGTGGTTTGATTAACACTCACCTAATAATCTATGCTAACTGGACGACAGAAAAACATTATACTTCGTACATTCCCCATTTTTTACCTTCCCTGAAACATTTATATTTAAAACTTGCATAAGAAACATTAACTGTTGGATATCTCAGATAAAAACAAAACTGAGAACATTTCCCATTTTATTAAGCAATGGTTTTACACATGCAGCGTTTCCTTCAGGAGCCACACCAAAGCATGCTCCTTGCTGCTCAGAACCAAAGAGTCAAATCTCTACTTTTCCACAGCACAGCATGTAGACTCCTAAATACTTAAATGTTCTTCTTCCATTTTTCATTCACTACGCTCCAGGAAACCATGCACAAAATGACCCAAATGCTTTTCTTCCCTTTTCAAAACATTTAATGAAAGCCTAATAATTTACAAGGAATGCAAAAGGATTTTAAAATGGAACATTTTTAGACCACCTTGTCCCTTCAGTTTGCAGTCTTTATTAACTGTTTCCTTTTTTCTTTGCTCAACTGGATCACTGCACACCAGCACACATTTTCTAAAGCTCAATGTGAAGGTAGGACTCAAAGACAAGATGTCGACAGGTGCAAAAATATCTAGGTCATGTTACTAGGAGATTTCAGTGAGCAAAAGTTAGAATTCACTCGATAATTTTTCCACCCTGTGCAAGTAAAGCATTGTAGGACAAAGGCAGAAACCTAAGGCATTCCCTGAATGTTACCATCTTTATTTAAAACATGCAAACATGTATCCCATGATTGGAAAGAGTCAAGCGCCCACTATGCAAATCCTGTGTCAATAAGAAGTCACATTACAGCTCAACCATCTGGGCCATGATTACTCAAAATTACTTTTGATAGTAGCAGTAGTACAACACAGGACTACAATGTCCATTGTCAAGGACTCACACTGAGTAATT